CCAGGTGTCTAGACATAACCATAAGTGTGTACTGTAGGAAAACCAGCGAACTCACTGAACATATTGCAGATTCATCATTTTGCAACTTGGAAGGTACTGTATGCATTTCTTCATCTTGTCTGGTTAGATTTTTCTTGGAATGTAATTTCAGTTGTTAATCAGTATGTAAACATCATTTTTATGAGACATGTGTGAAAAGTTGCCTCTTGCTGGTTTGAAATTATTGGTTCTTCATTCAGTTAATCCAGCTAAAGAAAACTATTTGCTATTTGTTATGACTCTGAGGAACTGGAACCAAGTGGAATGTGGGGAATTAACGAGAAGAGAAAATGTAAATGTGTAATAACTGTAACAAACTATTTTTTTTCACAGAGAGAAATAATGATATGCCTGTAATAACCATAGATTGTATGTTGAGTTGGAGGATGTGACACTTCCCAGAAGTCACAGCAAGTCAATCGCCCCCTGGTGGCTGGCAGCAGTATAGGTTATAAACCGTTCCCTCTTCATGTTAGAGAATGAGACATGAATGTTATCCAAAGGTGATTTTTGTCATTTTTGGTATTATCACAATGCTCTGTGTACAAGTGGTCATTATGTCACAAAAGCAAAATGGCCACCCCTGTTTTCACAATACTTTAGATTCACTTTTACACAGTGGCAGGAAGTAGTGACGTGTTGTCCATTTTTATATACATTTTGTGGTACAATAACATAATAATAATACAAATTAATAATAATTTAATAATAATAACACTCCTCTTTATGAATAACATCACCAGTGATTAATTTGTAAACTATGAAATGAAAAAAAGTTCCTCAGTGACCATTGTGTTGAGTAGTTTCCACATTAAGGGAGCAGCTTAGAGCCGAAAACATTTGTTGTGTTTGTACAGAGCACTATATCACATAAGAAGAGACACGTCTGCAAGTGCCAGTTACAAATGTCAAGCAGGAGTGATGCTAAATGCAGTAGGACTCCGAGGTCATTGCCTTCACCCTAATATCTGGGGACTTACTCCACACTAACATTATATTCAGAATATTACAGCAACAGCTTTAAAGCACACCAGAGACTTGATAATGTCTGGTATCCCCCGTTTCCTGTCACTAAAGTTACACTGAATGTGCACATAGTTTGACCAGTTGGATATGTTGTGAGATCATTAGCCTTATATTGCATGTAATTATTCTAATTTTAGTCCAGAATGCTGTTGTAACAGGCTAGTTCTACTAAAAGTATTAGACTTTGGACTCTTTCTACATTTTTCATATAGCCCATTTCTTTCATATATAAATAAGGTGCCAGGTTTGTCAAAATAGGTGCTGGTCACATTCTGAGAGATGCTGGATCCAGCTTGTTCCAGCACATATTAACCCCCGAACATCATCCTGTTTGTTTTATGTCTAACTGTGAAATCCTTTTTGGAAGCAGTGCTCATGGACTATATTTTTCAGTGACTTTAATCGCTTGGTTTTCACTTTGTTTAGTTTTGTATTTCTTTGGAAAAAGTAGCTTTTAGTCTATATGTTATGGTAAGTGAATTGAAACCATCCATTATATCCTATGCATTACACTTTTAAGCAGTGGGAACACTCCTTCACAGCTTCTAGTAGCACCTTGAGTAAATTACAGAAGCGGAAGGAGGAGGAGGAACAGTTGTGTTCACCAGGAGGTAAATGAAGTAAAGTAAAAAAAAAAAAGAAGTGGGTAAAGAGCAGCCTAGAGAGCAGCATATGGTAATGCATCCAATTCATCGCCCTTTAGAGCCATAAGGCCAGCAGTGAGCTTAACGCTACTGTCACAGTTACTGCTTGTAATGTGTGCAGAGAAAATGTTGTGTCGCTAGCTAGCAACTAACCATTTAAGCATGTTTAACTATGAAAAACAAACCCCACTGGAATGTTAGTGGTGTATTTGTGTTGTTGTACCCTCATGTAACCTCCATTGAGAATCTCACAGCCCTTACAACAGCAGCCACAGAAGCAAAACAATAATAAAAAAAAAAATGTTGGTTTGTAAAGTATTTTCCATAAGGGATTTTCTCTCAGATATTAAAATGGCGATTAATAGAAACCAATAGATATTAAAATGGCAATTATTAGAAACAAAATCAGTTAAATATGCAAATCATAGCTGGGAAAAATTATTTGAAAGGTACCTTATTAATTAATGTTCATCTGTTTGGTTAAATGTGGTTTCATCTTGATGCAAAAGAAATTTGTTTCAGTCTCTTCCAGTCCATCTTGGATGTTCTGGTTTAGAGGCGTCCGTGCAAATTTAACCATAGCAATTACATGCTGACATGCTTATTGCTTCTGCTTGTCATCTGATCAAAATGACTGGAGTCATTTCAACATTATACTTCATGTAATTAAAGGTTACATCTCCTTCTTTTGCTCATGCTCAGTTTGAAACAGCACTAAATAGCTTGGCTGACAGATGGACATCTTCATTGTGAGGGCAGCATCTTCAGCACTGGCGGGGCACTATTCTTATTTTGAGGTATTTGTGATGGCACATAATTTTAGCTGTCAACATGATGAATAAGTTAAAAGCTCAACTCTGCACATAATGTTCTAGTAAGTGGTTGTCCAGCAGATAATGACCTTTCCATATTTACCTTTAACTTTGCATGTTCCTCCTCAACAGTGTGGGGCTACAGAGATATTACATTACAAGAACTGTGGTTGTTTCCTTTTTCCTGTGGAGATTGTTGATAGTGAAAACAACAATGCAAACTGAAGAAACACTCATGCATATTCTTCTTTTCAGCAAAACACATATACAGTAGTAAAGCTCTGAAAACCTGCTCACCGCAATTACTGCTCACTATCACAGCGGATGAGTGAGTGTAAACACATGGCAGTCTTAGTAATGGGACAATGTGAACCAGAAGTATCCTGCATGTACTGTAACTCCAGGTCTATAACAACTTGTGTAGCCAGCCGTCACTCTGTATCACAAAGTTAATGAAATACTGCAAACACAGTTACTCCCTGGCATTGTGGTTACGATCGTGCTAGCAGTGGGTGAAATCTCATCTGGCGCTAAACTCTAATCAAAGCCTACACTGTGGGTAGCAAAGCCTTTGCATCAAGCATGCATCCAATTTTATTGTAGATGTCAGGATGAATAGTTTGGTGCACAGAGCATCTGACTTTGACAATGGAGAACCCTGTTTGCATCCCATTTCATACTAATGGTAAATGGTCTTATACTTGTATAGCGCTATTCACACTCAAAGCCCTTTCACACTACTTGGCCATTCATCCATTCGCACTCCTAAACGTTCACACATTCACACACCAATGTTATTGGAGCAACTGGGGGTTCAGTGTCTTGCTCAAGGACACTTCGACACGTGACTGCACAAGTCGGGAATCGAACCACTAATCCACCAGTTAGGAGATGACCCGCTCTACCTCCACAGCACTGGCTTGTTGTAACTATGACAACAATCATTCCCTGATCTTTTAGTAGGAGTTATAATCAGGGATGTTGCAACTATTGAAAAAAGTCACTTGATTACCTCTGTATTTTTTAGAGGAATGTGAATAGTTTAGCAGCCTGAGGGTGTATAGATTGAAACACACTTTTGCTGATGCCAGTATTTATACCCCCAATATACAGTATATGAAGAAGGATTCAGTGTTTCTTCACCAGAGCTTTACTGTAGAGAACTCTTTCAGAATCATTTAGACATTCATAGCAGAACCAAAAAGTTATAATATGTAAATTATAATGTAGTAAACAGAACAGTAGGTACTTAGAAGTACCTTTTGAATTAATCATTTAGTTTAAAGGATCTGTTAGAGAAAGAAACCCGCTGCATGTTTTTAAAATTTTAATAACACTAATTACTAGAAGGGCTTTGTCATTACACAACTGACATCAACAGACTTAAGAAGACAACAATCAAACACTCTGAGTGATGTCGCCTCATAGTTTGTCTCGCAGTGATGTTGTCACATTTGTAGAATTCATCAGATTGTGCGTTTGCCCAGATACAATACTTTCTGGTTGAAGTGCTAGCTATCTTTTATTCTGTCAACTCACTGTGTTTGTGCAATGTTTTTCCCTCTCACATTTACAGGTCTATCTGAATCCCTTAGCTTTAGCTGAGCAGATAACACAGTTTGAATGAGCCTGTCTGTTCTGTGAGTCTGAGCCAAATTGTGATATCTTACCTTTTCCCTCGCTCGGTTTCTATCTTTCCTACCATGCTTAGTCTTGTCAGTGCTGCCGGTGGCTGCTGTGTGTGTGTGTGTGTGTGTGTGTGTGTGTGTGTGTGTGTGTGCTAGACTGAAATAAAGTGGTAAGTGGGTATTTGACTATATGTATCTTTATGTGTGTGTTTTATGCAGTAATGCATGCTGTGTTTGGTGCTCATCAGATGAATCATAAGAGGAATGTACTGTATATCCCTGTAAAATGCAATGCCAGCAAATGGAATTAGAAGGTGCTGCTTTAATATGAGAAGCAGTAAAAGTAAAACTAGCATATTTAAACATAATGGCAGTACACATGAAAGAGCATGTTAGTTTAATTAATACTCATTAGCAGGAGGGAGCACTGGATGACTCAGCGTGGATGTTTGTGATGAATTAGCTCGCATTGTCGCATTCAAAATGTTTTGAGGTAAAGGAAAGCTTCTCTTATTCTAATCTTTGCTCTTTTTTTTTATCACCTCTGTCCTTTCTGTTTTTTATTTGTACAGCAGGTTTTCTGGCAGTGCTTTACCTGGCTTTAATATCTCACTGCTTAGTGTCCAAACACACACTTTGCCTTGCTCTTTTATTATCTTTTTTTCCTTCATCCTTTCAGTTCTTTTATATTAAGTGGCTCCTTTTCTGTAAGAAATATTGTAAATGTCCAGCACAGGTGGGGAACAGCTATTTGAAAATGATTAAATGTTGAACTGACAAACAGAGTTTATCAGTGCCAGTCAAATGATAGAGACCGCTTCCCTAATACGTGCCACCATGTGTCTTCTCAGGTATGTGGTCCTTCTCTGTTTCCGAGCTGGCTATCCCGGGCGCCGAGATAGGGCGTATCTCAGCGACAGACGCCGACCTCAGTGAGAACGCCAAGTTGGAATATACCATCTTGGAGGGGGAGACCGGGGACACGTTCAACATCACCGGAGTGAACCAAGAGGCGGTGATTACACTGAACAAGGTGAGGGAAAGATGACAGTGACAGTAGGGTGGACAGCTGGGAGGAGGGACTGAAAGGGCATGTTCAAGAGGAGGAAGTGGATGGAAGGGCCATGAGTGGATGTCATGAGATTGTGGTGGCAGAAGAGGAGAAGATATTGTAGAATGATGAAGGAGGGGGCGGGAGCATAAATAGAAAGGCATTGATTTGGAAGGGCTAAGCAAAGAAGAAGAGAGGAAAGATGATGAGGGAAAGGAGAGAAGACCGCACTACAGGTTTTAAGAGAAGATTGTAATTTTTTCTGTCAGTTAGAGCATCACTAACAATATGTTGCCAAAGCCCACTAACCTGGAATTACCTGGAAATACACAGAACGACTTTCTAAGCCTAAGAGATTTTCTATGATCCATCTCTCAGCAGCCTTTATAGTGAGGATTTTAAAATGTGAGCTGTATTCATTTTCTCTTTTCTCTTTATTTGACTCCCACCAGATGAATGTTTTGATGGGCTTCTGACAAATGAATTTCCTGCTTGATTCACTTGCTCCTTTTTTATCAATCTTTCCATCTGTTTACAGCAAACATAATGAAACATCCGTACAGATCTCAATGAAAGCATGATGCAGCCAAATGAAATGCGTGCAGCTGAGTGTAATCTGAAGCAAAACTGTTGTGACCACTGTTGAGATGTTTTGACTGCTGCCTTTCAGCAAAGAGTCTCTGTACAGAGCTTTTGCATGTAAAGGATCAATGAGGCTCTGCCTTTCCACTTTGTGTTCAGCTAGCTAATAGTTCCCTTCAGTGTAATGTTAGATTATTTCAGTTTAAAACGGTCATCTCCGGTGGGTGTAATGAGTGCCAACACATATATGTTTGTCTCCAGAGAAGGACAGGGGCCCCAGTGCTCTCACATAATGTGGAGTTAATGGCAAGTGTGGGAGTCATGTCTGAGATATGATGGTTTCATTTCAAACTAGACAGCACTCAGAGAGTGCAGCCTCCGCCAAGGGGCAAGTCTATTTCCCTATAAAGCCATAGAAGCAATATTCCCATGATAGTTTGACCCTCATAATACAGTGTGATTGCTTGACCATGAAAACCTACTTCTGGCATTTGGAATGATGCTGATATCTTTATAATTTTGAAAGTTATTCAAGAGAAAAACAATAGAACTCGCTGGTTTTAAGGGTAAAACACAGACTTCAGTGAGTGGATCGCAGGCAAAGCAGTGAAGACAATATTTCTGGAAGTTTGTGTTCTGCTTGTTTAACTGCTGTTTGCTTATAGTACAGTCTCTGTTGTTACACTATGGAGTGATCCTGTGCTATTCCTCTGCCCTGCTGTGAGTGTGTGTCTCCTCTAAACAGAGAATGACACTGGGAAATACAGTGGAAAAGCAAATTAGGATGGTTCATATCAACCCGAGACGTTACACCGGGGTGTGCTGCTCATTAGGTTCCAACAGTGGAAACACAGTTATAATGTGCAGCTGGAACACCGGCGTTCTTGCTGAAAGACTATTGTGCTCTGAATGAGTAGTACCTGCCTGCTAATGGAGTTAGCTTGATCAGATAACAAGCACTCACACCTCAGAAAATGTTCGAACAGATTCTGAATTGGCATTACTTGGAAAGACTGACCACATAATCTCAAAGTGGTCATTTCATTGTCTGAAAAGAATGTCAAAATGTTATAAAATTGCATAATACCAGTCCTACAGATGAAACTGTTAACAACTTTGAGCCTGGCTCAAAATCTCTGATATCAGACTCTTACCCAGCTGTCGCTGAGTAAACTAGATCTTCGTTTCTGGACAGGACGGAGTTTTCCTCATAACATCTTGAACTAACTTAACCAGCTTTCTGTAATACCCCATAGAATGTAACATGTCAGCAAACTTTAGCAACATGAACACCGTAAGCACATTAGCTTTATATAGTACATTGACATGCTCCAATAGTAAAAGCCACAAATGGATAAATAAATGTCCCAGGCAGACTGACATAACAATGTGTACTTACAGTTCTTCAAAGATGCACACGGGTCACACTACACTTATTTTCTGCCCTCGTCTTCACTCATCAGCGCATCTGGCCACAAAGGGGCTCACATACAGTCAACCTTGCAGCATTCACAATGGTGAATAAGCTTTTAGATCCAAATTATGGGACAGGTCAGCACCAAAATCTAATTGTTTCATGGGCCTTACTCTACCTGTCCAAAAAAGTAATTAAAATCTCAAACAAACAAACAATCAAACACTGGCAAAAACACAACCCCTGCCCTCGATGGAGGTAATGAGCCCTTCAGAAGTGCCTCAGGCACATTAAACATATACATGTTTGGCTCCTTTAATGTTGTCTTTGACTTCTCTGATCTGTCAGTCATTGAGAACTTGTGCATCCTTTGTAATGAGCTCTACACTGGGTGCTATATGTATGCACAAGTGAGACGAGAAGTGTGCTTGTACCTATGGAATGTGTATTTTGATGAGGGTGATTTATTTGTCTTTATTTAAAGGATAAATGTAGCAATATTGAAACAACTGGACAAACTCCTTGAAAAACCAACAATTTTTTTAGTCTTTTCATGGGATGTGCTGACTATAAAAAATACACACAATATCTCCGGTCTTATCAACACAATGTAGATTTTTAGTACCAAAAAAAGTTTTCTTTATGAATTAATTATTAATTAATACGATCTGTCATAATTGCTGGAGCTCAACGTGACATCTTCAAATGCTTGTTTTGTTTGACCTGTAGTTTTAATACAAATTATTTCTCATTTCAAAACATATAAAACATAAAAATTCAGGAAATTCTGACATTTAAGAAGATGGAGTGAGAATTTTTATTTATTGTGTAACCCTTTTGCCACCCGGCTCGTTATAGTAAGGGAACAGCTACTTAGTGCATACCCCTCTAAACTCAAAAAAAACAAATTGGCAAAAGAGACATTCCAATGTAAGAAACTTGTCCAGGCTTGCTGAAGACAGATTATAAGCGACTTTTCTCTGTCTTGAATCTTTAATTGACACACACCTTATACGGCCATTGCCATGACTTGTCCAGTTCTCCTTCGCCCACTCCGCGCGTCTTCTCTCTTCTTCTTCTCCTTTTTTTCGGTTGTCTTCTCAAAACATTGCAAAATAATAGAACATGAGATACGAACAATAAATTCCTCAACACCCATATAAAACGGTTATAACACTGTGCAACTGCATATTTCAACCCATCACAACAAACCATGAAATTTCCTAATGATCCACCATGTGACGAAAGCAAACACCCCAATGCATCACCACAAAGACAAAACACGCTCTGGCAAACAAAAGAAACCAACACTCTGATTCTGTGAATAATCAGATTACTACAATTGTTATTATTACTGGATAAATGACAAACAATTAAGTGACATCACATTGTCAACTGACTAATAGACTCATTTCAGCACAAAAACAGATGACTGGATGAACTCGATGATTTCGTTTGGTTACTGCTTATTTGGGGGAAAATCTATATTATATCTCCACATGCTACAGTGAAAACTATATTTTCAAAATTGGAGAATTTGTAATTTTTCAAATAACTTGAAGTTGTAGAAAAGTCTCCAGACTCCTTTGCCCATAAAATCCTATGAAAACCCATAAAAGTACTCCTGACGTTTCTGAAGTGTCTTTCTCGAGGTCCCCGGTTTTCAGAGTCTGAACAAAATAACTACAATTTGGAAAAATCTGTCAAAAATATTGCTATTAGATTTCACAATTTGTGTTTTATTGGTGGGGGCTTCATGTATTTGTGAGTGTGTTCTGGCAGCCATGTAACCTTGAACACTAGTGGATGTGCAAGCAGAGATTTTGTGTGAATTTATCACTGTGTCAGTCCTCAGCCTTGGGTTTGGAGGATTCATTAAAAACAATCCTCACCTGGAGGTAGTGTGTAGAGCAGGATTTCCAAGGCTGGTATGAGCTCCTTTGAATAGAAGCAGAGAGACAGGGAGAGGACTGGATACAGTTTGAGATGCAAGAAGAAAGAAATCGAAGACGAGGACTTGGGAGTGAGGGGAACGAGTAGGGATGAAGAAGGAGAAGAAGATGATGGTGAGAGCTGGAGGAGGGAGGAGTGTTACAATGAAGTCCTGAGCAGCAGTCACAGCACAGAGTGCAGTATAACAAGGAAGTCAGAGTATGAAGGAACCAGAAAGAGACATTCAAAGAGAGGGAGAGAGATGCAGAGACAGCAAGAGCTGTGAAATTAGTGACAGTCGAAGTGGGAGAAATTAGCACAGCTTGAGACTGAGAGGCATAGAGATACATATCCAGAAAGAGAAGCAGGTAAAGACAAAATATAAACACTAAAAAGCAAAGCTAAAATGGAGAAAAAGACATGGAGATAGAGAGGAAGGCAATGTGGCAACAACAATCTGAGTGAAGAAGAGCATGTGTGGAGGGAGGGAAAACAGAGCATCCTGCTGCGTGCGGAAGGAGAATCGATCAGTTCAACATGTGCCGGGCGTCTGGCAAAACAGGCAGGAAAAATATGTGTAAACAAATACAGTAAACACCTCCCGCCCACAATATTCCCCCCACTGGATTCAGCCACAGCATTTTCAAAGACAAATCAAAACATGCAATTAGTGTTTCTACATTGCCTCCTTCGTACTGTTTTGTGTTGTTGTAATCCCTCCAAGAGAGGCACTGAGAAACAGATTAGGCCAGAAGTGCTGCTATGTGTGAAATATTAAATAAACCTGAAGACTCGCAGGTTACCTGAAGATTCATTTTGAATTCCTATAAGCAAAATGAAACATAATGAATATTTCTAGGTGCTGCGAGGCACCATTTCACAAGCATTTACATCAGCTGTGGCCCCAGCAGCAATGAGGTTTATGTAAAAGTAGGGGTACTATAGTAACCTCTTCACATGAGTTGGATGGGTTAAAAAGGATTTAGCCTTTAAGGAATCCACACAAAACTAATGAAACACATGTAAGATATGCTACAAGTCTAATAGAATTCAA